GTAGTGGCTAAGAGTTGACCTGCTAACCTCACAGTCAGCAGTCAAAACTAAAGATGAGGCTTTCTGCTCCCATAAAGATTACAGCCTCAGAAACCCTATGTAGTGTCGTTATGAGTCAAAACCAACTGCATGGCACATTACCACCACCACCACCACCAAAATCACAAATGCACATATTCTTAAATACAACAAGGACCTTCTAAGAATGTATCCTGCAAATACACTTACACATGTGGCTATATATGATACACATGTGTGAAATGGTTCATGGAAAAGCAGTGTACAGTGTTTGAATTCAATTTCAAGATATGTTCAATTTAAAAAACAGAACAGTGTCTGTAGGATATCATGACTGAAGGTGCAGAGGAGTGTTCAAATGGCAAAGACGGAAAATGTGTACATACAAACATATTGACTCAATATATATACAATCTCTCTAGAAGATTCCACTGTTTACAGATAACACTGGTGGACTCGAGGCAGGGGGACAGGAGTGATTTCACTATACATGCTATCATACATTTTGAATTTTGACCAATAGGGAAATATTATCTACTCAAGGGTTTTTTAAAAATATGATATAAGTTTATTTAATGTTATATTTATCTAAGATTTACTTAAATGCTGATGTCATCCCATAATTCTTCTGCTCTTTGGTTATTAGTGGCTAATGTATCAGATCTATTCTCAAGAAGAACTCTAAACTTAAGTGGGGTATGTTTAAGGTCATATTTTGGCTCTCGTGGACTTGTTTTCATGTTCTTCAGCTTCAGCCTGAACTTACATATGAGTAATTGATGGTCTGTTCCACAGTTTGCCCCTGACCTTGTTTTGACTGATGATATGGAGCTTTCGTTCCCATCATCTCTTTCAACAGACATAGTCAGTTTGATTTCTGTGTATTCCATCTGGTGAGGTCCATGTGTACTTTATGTTGTTTAAAAAATGTATTTGCAATGAAGAAGTCATAGGTCTTGCAAAATTCTATTATGTGATCTCCAGCATCATTTCTATCACCAAGGCCATGTTTTTCAACTACTGATCCTTTTTCTCTCCAACTTTTGCATTCCAATCACCAGTAATTATCAATGTATCTTGATTGTATGTGTGATCAATTTCAGACTGAAGAAGTTGATAAAGGTCTTCCTTATGTTGTTGATGTTGTTGTTGTTGTTGTTGTCAGGTGCCATCCAGTCGGAACCGACTCATAGC